CCATGCAATGTCACTTAGGGGCCTATGGCGTTTCGCCATCTTTAAAAAAGAAAAAAGAAAAAAAAATAATAATAAAAAAAAATTCAATGGCAAATTACGGCATCCTGTTGATGCCAAACCTATATAAACCTTTCCCCCTAACCCCCCCCCCATGCATCGCTGTTTATGGCGGTTCACCGTCACCAAAAAAAAAAAAAACAAAAAAAAACACCAAATCCCACGACATCCCGACGTTGCCAGCAACTTGCCGCACCAATACCAATTACAAGTATTGGTGCAAGTCCCCCTAACAACCCCCCCTAACAACCTCCAACGGCATCCCGTCGATGCCAAACCTATATGAACCTTTCCCCCTAACACCCCCCCATACATCGTCGTTTATGGCGGTTCACCGTCAAGGACTCACCAAGAAAGAAAGAACAAAAAAAAAAAAAAAAAACACTAAATCCCATGACATCCGGACGTTGCCGACAACTTGCCGCACCAATACAAGTTACAAGTCACAAGTTACAACCATGTCCCCCTAACACGTTAACAACCCCCCCATTCAATGTCACTTAGAGGCCTATGGCGGTTCGCCGTCTTTAAGAAAGAAAGAAGAAAAAAAAAATAAAAAAAAATAAAAAAAATTCAATGGCAAATTCTGACATCCCGTCGATGCCGCAAGAATAAAAAGAATAAAAAAACACCAAATCCCACGACATCCCGACGTTGTCGGCAACTTGCCGCACCCATATAACCCTCTCCCCCCCCCCATGCATCGCCGCTTATGGCCATTCACCGTCACCAAGAAAGAAAGAAGGGAAAAAAAAAAAAAAAAAAAAAAACCCCCCCCCGCCGTTACCAAACTTAATACCGTCGTCCCCCCGCCCCCCTCCCCAACCCCTATTGCATTTCCGCGCAATGCGCGCATGGTGGTTCAGCCATGTCCAAAAAAAAAAAAAAAAAAAAGACCCCACGGCATGAGCTGGAGGCTTGGAGTCCACAACCGCCCATGAGTTGCACTTACCTCAATGCAAAAGGTGAAGTGCCTCAGCAATCCTCAATGGGCTGCTCAAAGGCTCCCRCTGCGATAACGAATCATAGCAATGGGATGCCTTGATGCATCCATTGCCTTCAGCCCACACTCTTTTTCTAAGTTTGTGGGCAGCCAGTTCATGCACACTGACTGCCAGAAAATTATGGGACACAGGCTCACAGCACATGTTGTGAGCCATGCTGTGCTGCGTGCCGCCAAAGGACAAACAAACAACACCCAACAGTTTGTCCTTTGCATCTG